TATTTACGCCATCTAGGACGCACTGCCAGCATGTAATCCGCCTTAAAGTGCTAGTACTTCACATGTTCCCCTAGGAATTATTTGTATTGGAGGTTTCCTGAAAGGGGGTACCCCCATATCAAATCCTATGGTTTGCGGATCCCCTAGTTTTAGAAACCCCCAATACGTCAGTATGTATATTGATACTGATTGTAACTCACCTTTCCAACACCCAATCCCTAAAGAAAAGACAGTCACTCACGTCACCATCCAGTTGGAAAATCCCTGAAGTTGAACTTGCTTATCAAAAAATCAAGCCAACCTCTCTCTGATAATGATACGTATCTTACTTGCTTTATGGCATCATGATTCATTCCAATATGTATTGTATGCCCCACGTATGGAAAGTTGTTCGTGTTCGCCACAAGACTTGTCCTAGCAAGTTCCCAGCTATTGAAATCCACCATCAATATCATCAATTGACTTGATTCTTCGCATGTCCAATAATCGAAATTAGCAAGTCTGGGTCAAACCAAGGCCGCAAAAAAAACAAAACTCTCAATTTCATAGTCAAGATGATCACACAAATTGCGCTGACTGATGAAGTTTCTTGTTTTTGCTGAGTTCATTTTCATTGTCATTCGTTAGTCATATCCCTAGATATCCCTAGTAAATAAGGCTGTTCCTTTTTTTAATGGTCAGTTCAACCATTAAAAAAAACATGCCCTTAGAAACCAAACTTGGAAACTCCAAAAACAGGGTTGAAACTTGAAACCGCCTTTTGGTGGCTGCAAAAGTCCGACTTAGTTGGTGCCAGTTCTCCCAAGTTGGGGCCGTTGGGGTTAGAACATTAAAAGGTTGGCAGCAATTGCCCAAACTGCATGATGCCTCAAATAACTGCAATTGGCATTTCCAGCAAAAAGCTTTCAGGCAAACACCGCCAAGCTAGGAATAGCTTTTGGAAGGGCCAGGCCAAATGTAGGAACGTATAGGCTGCGTCGAGATATTTTAGGATGTTTTAAGTTTTAGAAAATTATTCCAAAACCTAATTATTCCGGGGTATCTTGACGGAGGGGGATCATGATTTTCAAGGTTCCGACATGCATCATCGTATACCCCTTGAAGAAATCATTCCTTGAAAATTTTTCAAAAAACATATTCCATAACCTAGTTCCCATAGGATCCATGGTGCTGGAATATTTACCTACATTGACCCCTAAAGTAATTTTCTAAATAATCCCAATGTAGGTAAATATTCCAGCACCATGGATCCTATGGGACGTTGATACCCTGGAAGAACTCGTAGAAATGGCTGGAAAATCCCCCATAGAAATGGCCATGAAATGGGCACGTCATAGCTAGAACTCTTCGTTTTTGAATTCACAGCTAGCCATGGAGCTGATGACGCCATGTTCGGGTATATACCAGTTAATATACGCCAGAGGGTATATACCAGAGATTTTTCGCTGCAAAAACTCATAGCCTCTGGTAAACGTTTACATAACTATGGGAAAATCCACCATGCTATTAATGGGAAAACTCACTATTTCGACTGGGCCATTTTCAATAGCTATGTTGGTTTACCAGAGGGTACCCTCGGGTGTCAGATAACATGCGTATTTTGCAGCGGAACATCACCCAGCTATAGTTCGACGATTTCTCCCAGCGAACTAAACGTCCCAGCTGAGTTAAAACAGATTTCCCAGCGGCCCGCCATGGAGCTGATGACACAAATGAGGGTTTTCCCATTCATATTTCACTACAATTATATAATATTTCGATCATTTACCATCTAATTTCCCATGATTAAACATTAAACATCATTAAACAAACGATATTAAAAAAATATAAAACCACATTAAAACCACATGAAGCTACCACTAAACCTCAATTTCTTAGTGGAATTTTATAGGGAGCCCCATCAATGGGACCTGCCTGGGCTGATCTCGTCCTCCACCTCTGGCCTGGCTGATCGCTGGTCCAGTCGTACCCAGCTATGGTTTTGACCTTTGTAGGGATGTGAATAGCATGGATCAAACAGGTTGGTAACATATGGAATTTAAATCCTAAGGGGTTTACAAGACTACAATGTGAGGCCCCCAAGATAGCGTTCAGTTGGTTTATAACTCCAATAACTATGGTTTATGGTACTTATAACTGTTATAACTATAGTTACTGGGGCTTTTGTTAACCAACTTACAACTGGGGGGCGTCACATTGTATAAGTTATAAGCCAGTGAAACGAGCAACCTCGAGATTTGACTAAGCAACGAGAAAGACTGGGCTGACCTCGGAAAAAGTGTTTTTCAAACCCACTGGGGTTCACCGTGCCTAGTTTCACCTCGCTGGGATTGATGCTTTTAATGGGTGAAATATTTTTTTGGGCCCCCCATTTCCACAAACTCTCCATACCAAAATCCTGTGAAAAATCTATGAACATATGGGTTTCGAGGCTTAATCATTGCATATCATTTTGCTGGCTTTTCTGGGGGTATAGTCCCATAGCTACCATAGAAATCCCCATTTCGGCCCTGGGGTATACTCCATCCGTCAGGGCTCAGCCGCCTGGTGGATTTCTTCTTGGAGCCCGGTTTCAGGGACTTCTTGGTCGAGGCGGAGGCTGTGGCTGTGGCCTTCATGGCAGCCACAACGTCCAAAGTAGTTGCTGGTTGAAGCATACATGAAAAAGCAACAAACATGGGTAACATGGGTCTGAAAATAGGCTAGCCCTTTTTGGTATCCAGTGGTTGGTAAGTACTTCCTTATGTTCATTTCTTGTAAATCCACAATTTTCAGACACACCCACAGCAGAAAATACGCCTGCGGCGTACGAGCTTCTGGCTCCTGTGTGGATGTAACGTGAAACCACCGTGGGGCGGGTAACGGGACAAAAACCGAACACCTGCGGAGTCTGAAGATCAACAAGGAATACCCTCTGGTAAACGTTAACAAAAAGCTATTGAACATAGCCATTTATAGTGAGTTTTCCCATTAAAAATGGATTTTCCCATAGTTATGTTAGTTTACCAGAGGGTATGTGCAGGTGGATTGTATCATATTGTATCCACTGGGATTTGGCCAGCAAATCTGCTGGCAATGAGATGGCTATGGATCATAAAGATATTCTTAAAATGGATGCATGATAAGGATAGACATAGCCAAACAATTTTTTGCTGGGCGGTATCTGAAATTTGCACCACTTGTTTTTTTGGCGGACACGCCAAAGCGCCAAAGCTGGAAGTTGAACGATTGGTAGCCGTAGCTCCAACTGGCTCCCCATGATTTCTCATGAAATAGCCTCTGGTTATGACTAACATAGCCATGGTATAGATGGCCCTAATCGAAATAGATGGTTTACCGAACTTAAAAATTATGGATCTTTCCATGGCTAAGTTAAATAACCAGATGGTAAATGGGAAGATGCCCATAGCTGATTGGCTAACCACAGAACAGCTGAAACTATCCATGTGGCAAGAGCTTGTGCAATCATCCACAAAACAGTTTGGTGGCAAGGGATTCACAACCGGCCGCTGAATATTCCGATAAACTTGCAGCAGTTGTAATCAACCACGAGTCGCATCACGAAGCAACAAAAATCGATACAAATCGTATAAACCAACCGTCAAGCATCGACCAAGGTTGGTTAACTACACTGACTTGAACCATCCATCTTTGGCTTTGACCCCAAAAAAACCATCATTGAACCACCACTCACCAACAAGGAATTAGATGGAATTAGTCCATTTACCATTCACCAACCATTCACAACTGGGATACAACTGGTATCCAGTGGCACCCCATGGGTCCCCCATCACAGCTGACCTTGGTTCCACCCTTCTTGGGCTTTTCTGGCAATCGCGTTTCCAGGTCCTGCCGGATCTGGGGTCAAATGTTTGGATTGTTTGTTCAAGAGATGTTTGATGCATTACAACTTACAACTATGGTTTAATAGGATTGTATAGTACTCGGATTTTGAATGGTTTTTGAATGGCTTTGATAGTTGTAGCATATACACTTTTAAACGAGTATATAACGGGCTGAAGCATTACTCGCAAGTGGATGCAAATGGGAATGTGGATATATATATAATATATATATATAACATATATATAAATAACATATATATATAACATATATATATATAACATATATATATATAACATATATATATATATAACATATATATATAACACATATATATATAACATATATATATAACATATATATATAACATATATATATAACATATATATAACATATATATATAACATATATATACATATATATATATAACACACACATATATATATATTATAACTATATATATAACATATATATATATAACTATATAACCAGAAAATATTGGACCCCTGTTCAACGCATGGGACTTAATTGATAGCATATTGATAGCAACCGAGCTCCCAGGCAGCTGAGCAAGACTCAAGGAAGTAAAGTACGGCAAAGACACAAAATGAGTTGGGAACCATTCATCATGGTATATCAGATAGTCACCGCAGTCCATAATTTTATCATGGTCAGTCTGGTCAGTTCCCCATATTCGTATGCCTTTTTCTGGCCCTGGTATCCGTGGCTCAGCGGACTTCTGGGCGGCAGGGTCAGTTTTTTCCACCAAAATTTGGCTTAGGATCGGTTGCTTGCCAATTAGCTCCGAGTACCTCAAGCTGTTGATATTGTTCCGAAACGAATTGGATGTTCTGTTGCGATTAATTGAGTTTATCCACCTTTTCCATGCCACGTACCCTCCGAGAAAGTGGTTAGACCACCAACCCCAACCCCAAATACAGTCTCTGAAGGTGCTGGAGCTTTAGCAACCCAAAAAGATCGGACAGATTCAATTTATCACTGTAATTTAGTAGGATAGTTTGTTTCGAACGATATTTTTTAAAATAGAATTCAGGATTTTCCATTTTGATCGATTTTTCAGTGGGTTGCTAACACGCCTGTTTCCGAGAAGTTCCCACTCTCCCACGCAGAAATTCTCGCTTCCTCCAAGCGATTCATCATCTCCTCCTGTCTGGTGGTGATGGATTCGCAAACCTCTCGATGCCTCAGGGCCCGGATCCCGGTTGGATCCCGGTTGGATCCCGGTTGGATCCCGGTTGCTCCCGGTTGGGTGACCCTGGTGACCATCAAATCACAGGGTTCCATGGAACATGGGATGAACATGGCGATTTTTCGATGGGATCAAAATTTCTTGGTGATTTTTTCGAAAGAACAGAGAAAAAATCATCAAAAGTTGAGATCAACATTTACGGTCCCATGGGATGGCTCCAGGTTGTCAAGGACAGACGCTGTCAAGGGCTTCATCTTTCATGCATAGGTCAACTATGTTCAACTATTTCACTGTTCATTTCCTCGACTCCATGGTTGAAGTTGATCGAGTTTCTTTGAGAAAATTGCCACTTGGATGATCAGCAAATGGTTGGTAACTGGGCTAATAACATCTAATAACCCCTTTCTTTTTTGGACGCTGTCAGTTCCTTATCCCATCCCCCCAACAATATTGAATACCCAGCCAATGGGACCCCTATTCAGAATAGATCCAATACTAAGCCATGGTTTCTGAGGGTGGTATGTCATGGCGGAAAGGGATGGCTCCATGATTACCCAGTTCTCCAATTTTATGGATAACCCTGGGTGTGTCTGACAATGGGGTACTACACCCAAAATTTGTCACCATTTTTAATGGGTAAATCCACTACAAATGGCCATTTTCAATAGCTTTCTGTTAACGTTTACCAGAGGGTACCATGAAATTTTGGGGCTCCCTTTATAATTCTCCAGAGACACCGAGAATCTCCCATCCAAGTTGGATCATCAAGTTGGGGTAAGTTTAGCCCTTGAGGCCGTATCCCCCAATTTGTTAAGAATCCCTCGATATGGACTATGGATGACTATGGCTCATTTAGTTCGATGATGTAGAACATGTGTATCTAGTAGCTATTTCCACAGCAAATACCAGAGAGCATTAATATGTTTATCTGAGTTCATTGAATCGCCAATGTCTAGTTGACTATCGCCATTAAATCCACAGTGATGGATATACAACCATATAATTTAACCGTATAATGATGGTTCATTTGCATCCCAATTTCTGGGGTTGTTGATGGTTGTTGCCATACGGCCATAACTATGGCTACAAAGCCTGACTTATCATCCGCATTGTCAGACCCATCATATTAAGTTGGTCATACATGTATATACACCAAGTATATCATTATGACTCATTATGAATCACACCCCACTTACATGAAGTTGTTGGGTTGGATATTTTTACTCTGGTAAATTAACATACTTATTGAGAATGGCAATGTATCGTTGATTTACCTACTTTCAAACATGGTGATTTGCATAACACACTTCTGGCTTACCAAAGGGTGACCATTGTTGTTGGTGAAAATATGTTGTTGGTTAATATGCCATCAACCCCACTCATATGTCATTGCACACCCCATTCATTAGTTTATGTCATGATACACCTCACTTACATGCCCAGTTTACTGTTTTTATGGTTTACATATTCCCATTATATCATACCCAGATGCTCCATGATGCTTTTTACCTACATTTGAGCCATTTTGGGGTAAATGTAGGTAAATATTACATACATCTGGGTAATTTGTAATATTTCACTAACCTGAATAGTTCGGCCATTTGGGGATGATTTCCAATACTAACCATTATTCAATCATTCCAGGGTTCGGTCGCAGTGAGGTCGTTATATAATTTACCCAGATACATGGAGCATCTGGGATATAACAGTACAACATCTGGTTGGTGGTTGACCTACCCCTCCGAAAATATGAGTTCGTCAGTTGGGATCATTATTATCATTATTCCCAATATATATATATATATATGGTCGAAAGTCTAGTCATAAAAGCCATGTTCCAAACCACCAAGCAGTATTACCATGCCGCATCGAGCCAGTAGCATTGATTCACCACGACTCGTCCCACATTTGGCATCCCTGCGCGCCAGTGCTTCTGTGGCAGACTCTTGGAGCGCCTGACAGGCTGGCGCTAACGGCCACCCGACATTGGTAAACGAACACAATTTAAACGATGGAACGATGGAAATGGGTAAAGAAAAACGAACTATCAAAATGGCCATGTTCCATGGCTAAAATTCTCTGGTTCGTGGTTTCAATCCCTCTGAAAAATATGAAAGTGAATGGGAGCGACTATCCCATGTATTATGGAACATACCCTCTGGTAAACGTTTACGTAACTATGGAAAATCACCATTTTATAGCTGGGTAAATACACTATTTCTATGGCCATTTTCAATAGCTTTTTGTATGTTTACCAGAGGGTATCCCATATATTATGGAACATATAAAATGTTTGAAACCACCAACCAGTTCTATGTTTACCAGAGGCTATAGATGACTGACGGTGATTCATTGGGATAACCCAACTACAACGATCTACAACGCTTCAACCATCCAAGATGGTGATGTTTGTTGGCGCAAAAACGGAGCCACCATCCCCAACAAAGCACTTTTATGGCTGCTAGAAACCATGGGAATATGGGTACGATATTGCTTTGCTAACGAAACATAGCTGTACATGTATGCCTGTAATTCATGATTAATGCATATGTTGCTCGACAACAACAGCATGTGGGAACACGTCCGCAGTCGCAGTCATTCAGAGACCATTGGCAGTTGGTTTAAGGTAAAACCTATAACCCATAGGATCCATGGTGCTGTAATATATACCTACATTTACCCCAAAAATCACCCAGTTTTGTAGGTAAATATTCCAGCACCATGGAGCATCTGGGATAAGACAGCCATGGGTTTACAAGCCATTTTTGTGAGGAGTTCCAATTGTTGGATTGGGGTTGTTGACCAAAAAATAGGAAACAAGAGAGAGCTAGGATTGTGGGAAGCCGTGGATATGACAGAACAATGGCGGCAACCAACACATATCAACAAAACCTAGACCAGAGACATGTTTGCATACTCTATGCAGGGAAAAGTAAAGTAGCATGGAATGGGGAAATGCAAGTGCCATTAAGACAATCATCCAGCTATGTAAAAGGGCCATCTGTTCTTGCCATGTTTGATTTCGAAAGAGAGACAGAGAGAGAGAGAGAGAGAGGGAGAGAGAGAATAAGAGTCAGTAATGAAGGTAAGCAGGCTAAACATTCCTTACAAAAGGTTTCTGGGTGCGTGATCATTTAGTGGTCTTTTGCTTATCATGAAGTCAGTGAGATAAAAAAAAACAGCCATGAAATATGAATCTGGTTGGTGGTTTCAACCCCTCTGAAAAATATGAAAGTCAGTTGGGATTATTCTTTCCAATATATGGAAAAAAAATGTTCCAAACCACCAACCAGGAATGTCATGTGATCATTGGTGGCTGAAGGAACGCCATGGAAGCTCAACTGACCTTTTGAAAAAAAGATCCCAAGAAATGACCATAATCTCGAGGCTTTGAGGCGCAGCCATATTTCCAACATTTTTTGGTGACACCAAACACACACACACATAAAAAACAACAATCATCATCGCGAACAAACCACGGCTCACGCTTGTTCATGGATTCAACCAACGCCAATGGAACCTAGTCTAAGCATCATATGTCCCTGTTTCTTCTTGTTTATCCTGACTCTTTAGTGGTCTAAGAATGTCAAATCATATATTTCATCATGCTTTTTATCATAGTATTTCATGTGAAATCACCCATGACTTCCGGTAAAACCATCAGCAGTTGGGCTTCACTGCGCGCTGAACCATGGCCGCCTCCACTTGCGCTCCATGCGCCTCTTTTGGCGCCGCACCCAGTCCTCGCGCTGATCCACAGGATTCCACGGGATTCCACGGGATTCCAATTCTTACCACCTCTAGTCACTAAATATCTATATCCAAAAAGTAGATCATACTAAATCCATAGAAAATCCATAGAAAATCCACGAAAACCATACTAAATCTATAGATATCCAAAAAGTAGATCCTGCAAACATTTCCCATCCAATTCTGGGATAGTGGTAAGTAAGTGAGATTGAAACTGGAGTATGCCCCCTCCCCCTCAAAAAGATAAGGGAATGAGGCAAAACGGGAATGATGTTCAAAATACTTTTGTGGATTTGGATATGTTCTTGCTTTTTGGAATATATTACTAGTTGATAAGTCCCCTTAGAAGGAGTGTTGCTTACAAACCGCGTAACTGAATGCGATCATTCTCAAAGTATGGTGGATTCACAGCAATCTGAAGACAGCGTGTACAATGAGTATTGGGCTCACGTAATTAATGCTGCACCACAAAAACGGGTATAGGTTTGACATGGTCATAGCATAGTAATTTGTAATGCTGACCATAAGCCAAATCGAGAGTAATTAAGAGATATTACACTTGATGTACCAATGACCAAGGTCATGGCTCTCAATTCAGCCATATCTATCATAAAACATCTGAAACTCTGCATTTCAGAATATCAGGAGCGTGTCTGAAAAGTACGAAATCAAGCTGTACTAGTGCAGAACCAATAGATATGATATATCACTCGATTAGCCAGTATAGGAACTTTGCTTTAGCGTTTCTTGGAGATTCTTGTAGTTTCTTGCTGGTTCATAACTCAGTTTGGACAATTATATGAAATCTATAGGAATCTCTATGAATTTATCCCATCATTTTCCACCTACAGGCGCTTCCATCAATGTCCTGTCGGAACAGTTGGGTCTGGCACGACCGCTCCTCCAAGAGTTTGGTGAGAAGACTCTCAGGGGGAGCCTTAAAAATGGATTATCGCAAATTAAGCAGTTTTCCTACTATATAGAGGGAATTTGGAATGTGTGCATACGTATACATATATATATATATACACATATCATAGTTATTATAATTTATATGTTTATAATATTTATTTATCATAGTTATCATAGATATACATTTATAATATATATTTATACGTTGTTTCCCTATTCTGTGAGTCATTGCTCGGTAGAAAAAAACACTGATGATTGGGGAATCCACATGATGTTCACCCATGATTTTCACCATGATTCTGGGATCCCCCCAGCAGAAACCACCCACCACCCAGCTGAACCACCATTTTGACCCAACCCGAAAACGATTTTAGCAGCAAAAAATCAATCTCAGAAACACACCGCTATAATGAAATATCACATTAATCGATTCATATATCAATATATATATATATCATATCACCGCTATATATATATATATATCTGTTTAATTCATATTATATCAGAATCGCTATGATTTCTCCCGTGTAATAAAGGTTAATAGCCGCGCCCTTCGAAGCACACCCGTCCTATGACGCTGCGGCGGGCTGTAGCAACACGTGCTGCATCCCTCATGACCTGCGAGTGGTGGTTGAACCCCCCTTGAGGTGGTTGAAAAAAAACAAAGGAAAGATCCGAATAGACAATCAATGATGAACATATTTTGTTATATATATATATTATAGATATAGTTATATATATAATAATATATATATATAGTATAAGGTTTCGGCTGTAAACGGCGTTTCCGGGACGTACTTCCCCCCCGGACGTCGGTTAGGGAAACCTTAGCGGGTAGCTAGCGCTGAAGCTATCTGCGGGCCTTTCGCTGTGTGGAGAGCAGCGGCTGAGCCTTTCTTGTGCTCTCTATCCCAGTGCTGGATAGATCACCTTTGCTCATCTAGCCCCTCTACTTCGATTTTGGACTTTGAGTACGACTTCGATCTGCTCTATCTTCCATCTTCGGCTTCCCTTGGGTTTTTCCAGGGACGGGTTTAACCGGTTCACTGCCTAAACTGGTTTCGGGGCATTTGGGTATCTCCATCTTATTTGGCATTGCTGTGATCATATTTGACTGCGGTTGACTTTGTCCTGTTTGTCTTTCTGAACCAGCAGGGTCCAATTTGCGAAACTTTCACAATTTCATTGAATTTGACCTGACCATCGGGCTTTTCAAGTTCTTGGTGAATTTATTCATTTTCCATTTGATCGGATTTCTGGACAACTTCTTGGTTATTTCTGGCGAAGCGATTGGCAGCCACGACTTTAGCAACAAGAAGGCGGACATTGAGGCGACAGCGAGCAACCGCACGAAGGCAGTGGTTCTTGCATCGTCGAGGAGTAATCCATTTATCCAAGTCCAAACTCCGCAAGATTTTCGAGGTCATCCAGAATCATCATTCCCGAGACCATCAATTTCTTGCCAAGATCAAAGACACCATGGCGAACAAAGCACCATGGAGATGCGCTGGATGCAGGCAGCTGAGGAAACACACGGCAGAATACTGTCCGGTCTGTCAGCTCCCATGGCAGAGCACGATCGACAGGAGCTACGTGCACAACCCTGGAGTGCGACAGAATACCTATGCATACTGGTCGCAAGATGCTACCACATGGGGAGGGCATCAAGATTCATCAAGTTGGACCAGACCAAGATCCAAGAGCAGGGCACACACACCGAGAGGACGGCACAGATCGAAAAGTGCGAACGATCGCTCTCAAGGCGATGGCAAGGGACAGCAAGCACAGCCGCCCAATGCCTACTACGGCAAAGGACAAGGCAAAATCCCGATGCCACCATTGCCACCGCCTACAACGCCTTGGACGGGGTACAACATGCAGAACATGCCAGGGATGCACTTTTCACAGCAGATGCCTCACATGCAGCCAGTGACACCTCAAGCAATGGCAGCGGCTCCACTCACACAAGGGCCGCAACAGCCATTGGCGCCCCTTGCCCCAGTGTTACATCCTTCCATGCCTCCACAAATCAGTGTGGAAACAGCTCAGAAGGAGTTCATCGAGATGGCAAAGGCGCGACAGATGGAATTGCCCCCAGACATGAGACAACGAGTACAGAGAATGTCCAAGTCCGAGGGGGCGCAAGCTACAAAGGACCTTCACACGGCAGTGAGGTCTTTGGGATTTGCAAGGAAAGATGTGGAAGAAGCGCTACAAGCCCGTTGCAATCTGATCACGTCATGGAAACATTTTCTGGCAGAAGCAGTGCAACAATGGCAAGGCTATACAACGCTCTTCCAACAACAAGAACAAGAACTTCAGGCACGCATTCAGCAAGCTCATGCGGTCTTTGCTACGGCCAAAGAACAAGCAGAGCAATCCCAGGCCGAGGCTGGGAAGATCAGTACCATCGAGATTGTCGACGACGAGGAGGAGTTGAAGGGAGAACAAGCATCAGTGGAGAAAGCGTCAGGACAGATCCAAGAGGGCCTGACCCATCTCACAGCTTCACTACAACAACTTCAAGCCAGCGCGGAGGCGATCGAAACGATGGAGAAGGCCGCCAAACGACCAAGAACCTCCGAGAATGCAGCCAACGACGAAGCTATGGAGGCAAAAGGAGACTTCGCTCCGGATGGAACCAAGCCGCCTTTTGCCTCGCCCGGTTGTGCATGACCTTTTCGTATGACAACCTTGGGCTATGCAGGCATTGGGACAGTTCCACCCCAGCCATTATCATGAAGTGGAACAACCGTGCAGTGTGCAATGAAGTATTTGTTTCTGAATGGCAAGCGATAGCAAGTGCTCTTCGACTTAGCCGAGAACTTCTCATGCCACTGTCTCCTGCCACAACACGGTCCAACTCTGCTAGTTCCCAGTGCAGAGATGCGGCCTTGCATCAACTTGAACATTCTACTACCAAAACCAGCCGGCGGAGCTCCCTGCGTGTGGGTTTTGCAGAGGACCTTGAGCTGTGGATTGGCATAGAGGATAGCATGAAGATGTACAAGTTGAACGTTCCGATTGAAGTGGGTGCAACTCGAACCACTCCGTGGAGCTGCCCCAACACACCCTTTTCAGAAGATGCCCATCGTGATCAACGCTTTGTTGCACACTCTTCCTCTGATGGGCACATCAACATCCAACGTTTGTCCTCAAGACCCACATGGGCGAGTGGAATTGAGGCCATTTTGAATGAAGAAGGTCAGGTCGATGAGAGCGAGGAGGACATGGTTGTCTATTTGACATCATATTTCATTAGTCACCGTGATCTTCACCGTCATGCTGAACCGCGAATTCTTAGATTTGATCGAGAGGTTGAAGAATGGGAAAGAGAAGTAAGGTTCATGTGGGAGGATCTCGTGGATCATGATGCTGCCATTGACGTAGTGATCGTACGGCCAGACCCGCCACGAGTAGTGTATCCAGGCACAGCTGCGACAGTCATTGTCCATCAACATTTTCGACATGATCGAGCAGCATGTCTGATCTCAACTGCCCACATCATGGACCCCACCACAAGATTCTCGGTGAGTGCGCATTCCACTGAGACCCATCTACTACCTCATCAAGTTCGACACTTAGCAGAAGTAGATCAACTCTGTCGTGAACGTGCTCGACAAGGAGCAGGCCAATGTGACGTCTACATTGGACACCATGTCCAGCCCGAAGGACAAGCGATTGCGATCTTCCATGGTCTGGCATTGCACATTCGTGTGCCTTCACTCCTGTCTGAGGAAGAAATCGAACAGAACTTGATCAGAAGAATTTAACAACGAAGAAGAGAAAGAACAGGAAACGAGTGGGATCCGGCAGATGATGAACCTGCTCCTGAAGCTCACCACCCACCACATGATGCAGACATAACAAACAGGAGAGAAGGAGAACCAGAAGATGCCATCTCTTTCATGGCCCGAAATGCAGCACAAGGGAGAAGAGCGTCATCGGTGGTACCCTCGCCTTCGACATCAATGTCATCGCCATCGTCATTTATCCAGGAGGATATCCGACGCACAATCATCTTCACGCTGGATGGCCGAGCTTTTCCTGCATCTTTGTCCTGGAATGACCCGGAAGATCAACATGCAACAGTGGCCAGACTTGGAGGCCTCCATGAAGGACATATAGCTCAACTATGGCAAGTGACACATCGACCTCATGATCTGATTCGTCTCAATCTTCAGTGCAAGATTGTACAATTACGAACAGAACCAAGACCAGCCAGCTTCATGAAGATCATTCTGATCGACATTGACATCTACTCCACGCAGAGTCTCCAACCCTTTGCCATGAGACGACAGGCGCGATGGATGCCACGAGTCATCAACAGGAGATCAGTCTTCAGACTCCTTAGTCTTGATGAGCAGTTCCAGGAACAAGAAGAACATTGCTACTTGTGGCACAACCATGACGCAATTGCGGCCTCCCAAATCGCACCACTCCGGCTTGAAGATGGTGACTACATCCAGATTCACATCGGCGAGAAGATCTCCTCTTTGAGCTGCGATTCTGCGTCCAGAGAAGCCAGCAACGGTACAGGCAATGAAAGCTGGAATCCTCCAGATGTACAAGATGAAGATGAACACATTGAGCTCTTCCAGCGCAGTATTGCCCAACTACCTAAAGTATGGCAAACTCTCCAGCGGCAACTGCAGCAGACCCAACTCAAGGTGGCGCCTGAGCATGCACGAGCCACGCAATCTCTCTCTACTACAAGCAGAAATACACAACAAGCTCTACGACCTCGGCGATTGATCCATTTCCAACCTGATGATTTGAGGAGATTTGGACACCTTTTCAGAGATCAAGCAATCACTGAATGTGAAGAAGAGGGACCCATCGCCTATCTAGAGACCTGGCTGATTCACCATCAAATCAGGCGCTCATGCGACAGACCAAGGTCTGTTCGAATCAGAGCTGATTCCACATCTTGGCTTGATGATATCTTGGAGCCATGGGAAGAGGATCTCGACCCTACGCTGGATGTGGTCATACATCTGGTGCAGCCGCAACCACCATGTACCCATATGGAGTGCGTCTTGGCCCACCTGATCATTGAACAATCGCACCGTCGAGAACATACCATTGGATTGATCTCCATTGTGCGGCAAGGCCATCGACAAATGAGAATCAGACACGCAGCCTATTCTTTGCCTGAACTGCTGAGCAGAAACTATGTCCTGCGTATCAGTGAGGTGTATCAAGAATGCCAAAGTCATCCTCTCTATTGCAGAGTGCAGCAGGGCATGATCCCATTTGGACTCTTCAACATTGAGGAGATACCCAGAGCAGTGGGCATTGTTGTTGAATTGCCCTATGTTGCAGAGCCGCAGTCCACATTACATGATGGCACTGAGCTCATGCAACGCACCATCACTAGATGGCAGAGACGTGCACAACCACAACAAGAGAGCTCGGACGCATCCAGCACCGGAGGAAGCTGCGAAGGATTCAATTTCAATCCAGATGCTCCAAGTTTCGTTCCTCAACCAGATCTGAACTCAGTCCCGGAGTCAATTGAAGAGCTTCACCAACACTGGCAACAAACCGCATATGCATGGGAAGGCGAATCAGCTTCAACAATGGTGATGACATGGTTCGTGGATCAATTCCACCCAGGATATCGTGTTTGCCTTCAACCAAGGCCGGTCAGGCTCTTCGAAGATTTTACCCAATGGGAAGTTCAATTGAGGAACGTGTGGCGAGACAGATCACTGCAAGGTGCACCCATCATGATTCATGTTGTAGAGCCGCCACCGCCACAAGTACACCCAGATATCGCGACTCACGTGCTCTTGGTCCAAAACCCCCAAGACACCATGTCGACGATTGTGCTCACTGGGGTGGATAGCACTGGTGCACGGAATCTACTATTCACGCAAATGGCAGTGACCATGCAAGAAAACTTTGTGCTGGATCCACTACTCATGCTGATTGGCCTTGGACATCAATGTTTATCGCCTGGCACGCAGTATCTCTGCATGGCCTGGTATGGCAACACAGCCATCCCGATTGGAACACCGTTCCCTATTCGAGATGGCTATGGAATCATTCTACGAGTGGGATTCCGACCAGTACAACCTGTACCTGCTGATGCAAACGCACTTCTCCAAACCGCTCTATGTGGTGAGAAGCGCCAAGAGACTTCGGCAGAATGCCGATCTGGCACCTGCGAGCGCCTAACAGCTGCTACGGTGGCTCACGAGCAGCGGCCGCAGGAAGCCAAAGAAGGGGCATCACAGGAGCTCTCATCAATGCCGATTAGCATTGAGACCCTTGTCCCTGTACAGAACCAGCAGGTCGCAATCACCCTCTGGCATGAACATCCAGAAGCAACGCAACCGCCATTTGTGGTAGTGAATACCGATGCACAAGAACAGGAAGTTTCTGAGGCGCTTGAGGAGTGGAACATCACTGGCCCTTACGTATTTCAACCGAACCACCAGATTGCAGTGATTCTGGATCCTGAACAACAGGAATATCTTTGGATTACTTGCCTGAGGATCCAACTCAGAGAACTGACAAGATCCTTCTTCGCTCCAAAGATAAGATGACGACTCACCAACACATGAGATTTCTTTACAAACATGGCTTCCACAAAGCCGTCATTGTCAAGACCGAAGAATCACACTCAGCAGCCACCACGATCTTCTTCAGGAATGTCCATGCTCTCCCACCAGTGCAGGAGACCAAGCAAAAAGAACGCACAGACTGGCCCACACAGCAGCAACCTCAAAGGAACCACCGACCGATCTTCGATGGCAGCCAAGTCGAAGACAGAGTTCCATCAACCATGCTGACAGTGGGGGTCACTATACCAGAGCTTCAACATTTTTTCAATCCTGCAAATCATCCACTACATCGAGATCTGAGTGGCTTTGAAATACCTGAGATTTGCCAACAACTCATTGAAGACTGCGTGATGCACCAACGCATTGATCGTTTGCTCATCTATGCGGATGGATCATCACAGAGCAAGTACAAACGTAAGCCTCCGCTGTGGATTGAAGAACATGATATCAGCGATTCGTGGTGCTTTGCAGTCTTCGGCGAGAACTATGACTCGGACAAGCTCATGTTCATCGGCTTCCAATGCCAACAAGTATTGTACAATGAAGCCGCGCCCCATCACTTGGGAACGGCCCATATTGGCGCAGACGCTGCAGAGTGCGAAGCAATGTGCTGGGCTGCACTGTGGCGACTAGCACAGAATCACCGCATCCCCACTGTCTTCTTGACTGATTCCCAGCTCACTCGAGGACAGGCCAATGGAGACACTGGAGCCAGTACGACCAGCCTTCCCTTCCGCACTTTGCGTGGCCTCTTCCAAGCACTTCAAGCTGTGTTGCCTGGAGATCAGCTGAAGATCCAACACGTCATGGGACATGCGGGGGATGCTGGCAACGAGTTTGTCGACTTCTTTGCCAAGATTGAAGCAATCCACAGTCTGCACCTGCCAAGGCAGACATTCGATTCTGGCCGATGGCTCAAAGTCATTCCATATCTTTGGATGATTTTGCATCAAGCAGTTGATCTACCTCCACTGACGACCCAGGGATTTGACATCAGTGCCCCAGAATTACCTGCACTTGGTGGACAACTTCGACAACCAGATAGATCAAAGCAAGCTCCAACTGCCAGACTGCAACAAGTTAGCCTCAGTATATGCAGCGCCAATGTTCGATCTCTCTACACCAAGCCGCATGGTCATGCCGGCAAATTAGATTTTTTGCGCGGCCAAATGAAGCAACTGCAGCTCAACGTGGTTGGGATCCAAGAGGCTCGCTCACATGCTGGCCAAAGTGCAGCTGACCAAGTACTTCGAATTTCAGGAGGAGACCAACAGGGACAACTTGGAGTGGAACTATGGGTCAACCTGACACAACCATATGCATATCAAGGACGCACCCCAGTTTTCTTCCAGAGAATGGACTTTGTTGTTGTGGAAGCCACACCAAGAACCCTTCTGGTGCTACATGATCATCCGAGCCATCGCTTCTGGTTTCTCGTTGCGCATGGGCCTCAAAGTGGACGTCCACAAGAAGAACGAGAGGAATGGTGGATGCATCTCACCACGCTGCTCTTTCAGCATGTTCAATCAGACAAGATATTCATCTTGATCGATGCCAATGCGGCGACTGGACCACGAGATGACATCCACATTTTTCAACATGATGATCGCACCTCAGTCAACACCAAATACTTCACGGAGTTCTTACGTGAGATGGACCTGGCTGTACCTTCTACAGGTGCTCGACATGAAGGCCCTCATCACACTTGGACTAGCCCGATTGATGAAGAACAGTATCGGCTAGACTATGTTCTTCTGCGCACAGACATTGTGGGTGACTGCGTCCATTCTCAAACAGTCCCGGAATTTGACCTTGGTAATTCTGGAGACCATATCGCGGTTGCGATTCAAGTGCAATGGAATGCAGCCTGCTCTCAACTTTCTCGACATTGCCAAGGTGAAAGAGGACCTGGAGTCCAAAGATCGTCCATTACATATCAGAAGATGCACGATGCTCTCACGGATTACCAGCCTTTGCCCTGGGCACAAGATATTGAGACGCAGGTCAACCACATGAACCAATTTGTGCACAACAGATTACGCAAACATTGTAGCAGACAGGAGGCCGCACCGAAGAAGCAATGTCTATCTGGAGAAGTTTGGAAGCTTCGGTCCCAACGAATCCGAACCAAGAAGAATTTGGTGGAAGTACAACAGCGCCTGCGGGCCGAGCTTCTCTTCAAAGCCTTGTTCAGCTGGCGCAATCATGCGGAGACCCATGATGCCGACACAGCCAGCTACATGACCACGTTGCTTTGTGGGAAGCTACGCATTGTGGCATGTCTACATCGACTGGACAGAACATTGCGTCATGCACTGCAACAAGCCAAAGGCCGTGCATTGGACGAACAGCTCAGACAAATGCCACATGACACCGCAGCGTCTACAGTCTTGCATGAGATCAAACAGATCATCAGCACCACCAACTTCAAGAAAAAGAAGAGTACTCCGCTACCACTGATCAATAGAACCGATGGCACGCCATGCAGATCGATTCAAGAAGTTCAAGACAGGTGGATACATTTCTTCCAGTTCATGGAGTGCGGCGAACGTTTGGATGTTCATACACTACGTCAAAAATGGATTGCGAATCTCTCCACTTTCAGACGCAGTGATGTTCATCTATGCCTACAAGACCTCCCCAGCCTCACAGACCTGGAGCAAGCTTTCCGGAATGTGAAAGCCAACAAGGCTACAGGGGATGATGGTATTCCATCGGAAATTTGCCACGCATGCCCAGCTGCGATGGCAAGGATCACCTACACCCAACTGATGAAGCTTTGTGCCCACGGCCAAGAGGCCCTCCTCCACAAAGGAGGCAAATTGGTCACCGCCTTCAAACACAAAGGATCTTCCAAGGATCCATCTTCATACAGATCACTGATGATTTCGTCTCACATTGCCAAGACATTGCATCGCAGTTTGAGATCACACCAGGCAGATTACTATGAAAGATTCATGCAACAGCAGCAAATCGGAGGCCGCCGGAAAGTTCCGGTACAACTGGGCACACACATGGTGCGAGCGCATCTCCGCATTCAAGCTGCACAAGGCAGATCAGCGGCAGTCCTGTTTTTGGACTTACAGGAAGCATTCTATCGAGTCCTACGACCTCTAGCCCTTGGCGACACAATGACCGATGAAGCCATTGGTGCGATGATGCAGAGGCTGAGACTACCACCTTCGGCCATGACCGAGCTTGCAAGACTACTCGACCTTCCTGGTGCTACAGAACAAGCTGGCCTTCCCCAGCATCTGCGCATGGCCATGTGCGCCATCCACACGGATACTCACTTCCATGTGGAGGGCCAGAGTGATCGAGTACGTACACAAGCCGGCTCCAGGCCAGGCGACCCGTTTGCAGACGTGGTCTTTGGATACTTGTTCTCAAGAATCCTTGGTGTGGTAGAACAAAAGCTCATCCAGGAGCAGCTCCTAGACCGGATCCCAGAGTACAAATCTGGCATTAGCCTTGTGCGAGAGCCCGAGCAAGTTGTCCCAGAGAGACCGATGCTCGGTCCCACATGGATGGACGACCTGGCGATATGTATCTCCGGCCCCACGGCCATTGACCTTGAACGCAAGGCGGCACTCACAGCAGGGATCCTTCTTGAGACCTGCATGGAACATGGAGTTACTCCCAACCTCTCGCGAGGTAAAACAGAGCTCCTTTTAGCTCTCAGAGGGAAAGGCTCCAGGAATAGCCGCAGAGCACACTTCAGTGAGCGTCACGGTCGCCAGATGCAAATCGTCCATGAGCACGGCACTGATTCCATTGCCGTAGTAGGATCGTATGTCCATCTAGGCGGCAAAGCACACCATTCTGGAGAGAACAAGGTCGAGGCTCGTCGACGAGTGAGTATAGCCAATGAGGCGTTCAACCACCACAGGCGACAGCTCTTCCAAAACTCCCAGATCAGTTTGCAGCGTCGTAGAGAGCTCTTCGACACGCTGGTCATGAGCAAACTCTGTTTTGGCATGGAGTCATGGACATTCAGAGATCAACAACTGGTCAATTACATACATGGTGCGATCATCCGACTTTACAAGCGGTTGCTCAAGGTTCCGGCCAACCACCACATGGATGACTATGAAGTCCTTGCCACCTGCAGATTGCCATCACCTAAGACACTCTTCCGGAGGGCTCGTCTGCGATACCTGCTCACGCTGTTCAACTGCGAAGAAGCAGTGCCATGGGGATTGTTTCAGCAAGACCAAACTTGGTGCCACATGCTGAAAGATGACCTGCATTGGATGTGGCAACAGCTGAACAATACGTGCACCCTGCGCAACCCGGCTGACCATCCTGAGGAGTGGTTCTATATCACAAGATTCCACAAAAAGTATTGGAAGACCCTGGTCCATAGAGCCACCATGCTGGACATCCTGAAGAACAGCGACAACTGGCAGCTCCGACAGGTACACTTCCATGTCTTCGACCATTTGCAATCGGTTGGAGAACTCAACAGTCCTCCGCCTCGACCGGAAGTCACGCCGGCCAAAGGCATGTATGGATGCATTGCGTGCGGCAAGAAATGTCGCACACTGGCGGGAGAAGCAGCACACATGTTTCGCTGCCATGGGAAAGTTGCAGAATTTCGACGATTCAGCGACACCACATCGTGTCCAGCATGCTTGCGGGAGTATCACACGGTAGACCGCCTACATGCGCATCTACGCCATGGAAGACGATGCCAAGCACAATTGCGTGGCATGAAGATGCACAGACCCATCACCCCAGGCATTGGTTCGCAACATAATGCTGTTTTGAAACAACGACATGATGGCCTGTTGCCTTATCAGCCAGCTGCCGGACCTCCCACAAGACCCATGCCACTAATCGATGCACAACATCATGATCTTGAAGCGTATGAGAAGATTGCTCTTGAATGTTTCGAGCAGGGCTGCCATGGAAGAGATCATCTCCGAGGACAGTTGTTTGCCATTGTCCAAGGACTCGAAATTTCCTGGACGTCACTGAATCGGACAGTGGAGCAGCTCATCCATGACTTCACGGATGAAAATTGTGAGCTTGTACAGCTCTCCAAATCAGATATCCATCATCTTTTGGGAAGTCTCCGCGATCCGACACATTGGCCATTCTTGACCGACAATGCCGGAGATCCTGAACCTGGACATCGCGTCGAGCCCCTTGAGACGTATGAGGTATGGAGCGAACGCTTAGCACAAGATTTCTCGCAACAGCCTTGGCACCCTGATCAAGCACGACCCCATCGACCCTTTGCAGAGCGCATTATCCTTCATGCCTATTCAGGAAGAAGGCGTCATGGGGACGTACAATGGTTTCTCGAAGAGTGTGCCGCGCAACATCCTGATGTGATCATGCACGTTATTTCATTGGACATCGTCATCAACTCGCACTATGGCGACATTGGACGAGAGGAAGTGCGTGCAAGATGGTACACAGGCATGCGGCAAGGCTATGTGGCTGGATTCTTGAGCGGACCCCCATGTTGCACATGGTCCAAGGCCAGGGGGAAACAATTGAAGGGTAAATCCTCCAAGGGCCCACGAGTTCTTAGGGATTCGAACCATCTGTGGGGTTTTGACTCAGTCTCCATTAAAGAGATGTTGCAATTGATGGATGGCCGCCAATTGCTGGGCTTTAGCGTCATTGCCATGACCATCCTGGCCACGACTGGGGGAGCCGCCATCCTGGAACACCCAGCAGAGCCAGAAGAGCAGGAGCTGGCATCGATTTGGCGCCTTCCACTCCTTCAGCTTCTGAGTAGATTGCCCGGCATGCAGCACCTCAACATGGCACAAGGCCTGCTAGGCGCGCCCAGCCCGAAACCGACGGGCCTTTTAGTTTTGAATTTACCATCGCTACCCAGCTGGCTGGTTCGTTGGGCTGTCTGTCCGGATCTGCCCAAAGGACGCAGTATCGGAACTGACGAGACTGGAGTGTACAGAACTGCGGAGCTCAAGGAATATCCGCCAGCAATGTGTGCAGCGATGGCACATGCATTTACTGATGCCACACTGACAGCAATCCATGCGGTGCCGGAACAGCATGTAGAGCACGTACCGCAGGACTTTTTGGACTTATGCCAAACCATGGTGAGTCATGATTTTGGTGTTGAGTACGGCCCGGATTGCGTGCAGTGAATGGCGACCATGGAATTCAAGATGCACTGCCGCAGCGTCGAACGCTACTCTATGCAGTTGTGAAAAAAAATATAATAATAATAATAAATATATATATATATATATATTGATGGAAATCTATATAATTATATATATAATTATATATATAATTATATATATATATATTGATGGAAATCTATATATTTATTTTATGGTTGATCAACCAGACTAATACACTAATTGATTCATCAACTATACAAAGGTCTTGGTCAAATGGAATTCCATTGCGCCGACATATATCGAATAGGATACAACAAAAAATGAGTAAGACACACAAAACTGAACCAATGAACGAGACACTCAAAACGCTGAGATTCCCAACGGTCTTCATCACTTCGCGTTGCAACGTCTCCCGTTCATGCGGAAAGTACCTCAGCAATTCCCATGGTGTCCCATTGACCTTCTGATAATCAAACTTGGCCTGCTGGAAATTTCCCCATTGATCTGGGTAAATTATAATATTTCACTAACCTGAATTAAGGCCATCTGGGGATGATTTCCCTTACAGTATTAACCATGATTCCAGTGAGGTCGCAGTGAGGTCGTTATAATTTACCCAGATTGATTCATGAGTTGCCTGTTAAAAGCTCCATTTACTTCGAGGATTTCCTAGCTTGTTACGCTTTACCCAAGGGTACCATGGATCCAAACCATTGGCATACAGCAAGACAGGAAGTCGCACGTAGTTGATGGTGTTCCATTGGGTTTGTCAATGGGGCACCCCAAAATTCAATGGTGTTTATCACTAGGAAAACCCTAACGAAATTGCATTTTTGAGCCATTCTCAGACATATCCAATTCATGACACTTTGGCCCTCGCGCCGTATTACCCCTTTCATACCTAATCATCAGCTCTGCCAGATCCTTACTGAGTTCCGAACTTCCAGATTTGTTCGATGCTACTGCGTTTCAAACAAGACCTGGCATAGCATGAGGCGTATCTCGCGAAGGCGCAACAGGCGCAACAGGCGCAACATGTGGGGTAATCGGAGGAGAGCTATGTTGGTTGATGCCTACAATAGCTGCTGGGTTTCTTGGGGAGTAAATCTACAGTTAGATCTGGTTATCAACCAACTTATAACTTATAACTATGGGGCCACACTTATAACTATGGGGCTCCAAGCTACCCAACTTATTCCCAAAAATCACCAACCGGAATCGGGGATCGCACGACCAAACGCTAGCAATACAACCACAGACATAGTAGCAGCAGCAGTCGTTAAACAATCCAAACAAAGCCTGAAACAAGAGTTTGTGATGAACTCAAAATGCAAAGTAAAACAATGTATTTTGACAAACCTGGTGTTCCGTTGTTGAGATCCGTTAGTCATGCTGGAAAATGATGCCGGACTCTTCCTTTTAGATTCTGTCAGTATGTCTTGCAAGCAGGTGTAGATAAAATCCGACAATTTCCACCCAATAAAGAACACGTTTTATCACCAAAGCTAAGAACAAACTCTGGGTTCGGATTTTCAGACATGTTGATATCTATAATTGTTATCAGCACACACAAAAATATGCACATATATGCACATATATGTATATATATATATACATATGTATTATGTATATATATATATATACATATTATGTTATATATTAAATTATATCATCATTTTTTATTAGATGATATTATATCATATTATATTACATAACTACTAATATGTGTGCGAATTGGTGACTCCAAATATCTCCAGACTGATCCAGGCGCTCTTTTGGGCGCTCCCAACGCCACGACGTAGGTCTCGGCTTTCACCCAAGCAGTGCGTAAGCTTCCCTGGGGACCAGCGATGGGAAGGGAATACCATGGAATACCTGGGACATTTTTGGTTTTTGGTCTGGAAATGCTGATGAAGCAATGAAGCAACAGTTTGTACAGTTTGACATAGCTTAAGCAACAAATCCAACAATAAATGGGGAGATATATACAGTAACTATTGTTGGTTAACATATCTCCCCATATATTATCAGATTAACAATGGTTAAATGGTGACATAACCAACAATAGTAACCATTTAAAATGATGGTTTTAATCTATTTGTAGTGCCATATCTAATCTGGGTGTCTCTGAAAAATTAATGATTGAGCCAACACTAAAACAATCCAAGCCATGTCCATTTCCAAGGCATCAAAAGTCAAATCCTTGCCACGAGACTCGAATTAGTACGAAAATACACGAGACTACCACTAAAACAGTATGAAAAACCAACAAATAGATTGGTAAATCGATTCAGTGACATTGTGGATATGAAGCTGAACATGAATGTATATATATGTATACCCACAAATTATGGCGGTTTGAATGGGGAGAATCACGACTTTTATACCATGGGCAACTCACCAGTCACAGGATGCCCATGTAGAGCCATTGACCGACCAAAGACGCCTTAATCAAGGCGACTTCTCCAAAGTGATCCCCCTTTCGCTTCCTGGCTGGGAAATGGCACCGGTTTCGTTTTTCAAACGGTGGGGCGGACCCGAAAGAGAAGGGTCAATTCTGTCGACTTCATTTGACTTTAGCATTGGGGAGATGATTCACCAGAGCTGTATGATTATTTTGATGTTTTCCCTTGATGAGTGGATCGTTTCTCCTGAACAAGCATGCGTCTGGTTGATAGGTTCAGTCACGGCCACCTCTGTCCGGTATTCCCAAAGCGAAGGGATCACAACTATCCCCAAAGGACCTAAACCTCAACCAAGGAAAGACTTGACAATGTCTTGCCATTTTATACATTTAAATATAAATATAAATATGATAATATATATATACTGTATATATATACATGTATATGTATATTATGCCTATGTATGTATATATATATATAAATGGCGTTCAAAAGTGCAGCTCCCACCCAACATCCATCCAGAAGCAGAACTCAGAACTTTACCACCACAACTTGCTCGGTGGGCCGCCAACCCCTTCAATAAGGTGACCCTCCCAACAGTGGATAGTTGATAAACTTACTGTACCCTCTGGTAAACTAACATAACTATGGAAAATCACCATCTTTAATGGGTAAATCTACTCTTTCTATGGCCATTTTCAATAGCTTTTTGTATGTTTACCAGGCCGGGTCGTGGTAGGCAACCCATTGTTGGGGTCACCCAACCTGATGGGCAGTGTGATGGCATCCTCCACCTCCTTGGACCTTCCAGGCTGCATAAAAAACAGGGTATCCCCATCGTGTGAAACACCTGTACAGTATATGATTATATATATAGATAATGTGTATGTACACGTATATATTGTATATATATATATAATATATTATATATATATACATATTCATGTGCTGGCAAACTCATGCAAACCTCTAAGCCACGAACCAGGGAGATGACCCGGGCGGAAATCATGTGGGACCAGATCCATGGCCAGACGGCCATCGAGCGTATGAGAGAGCGTTTTGCTTGCGGCAAGCACTAAGCACGTGAATGTCAATCAAGTCCCACAAAAAAAATCACAGGCACCCCAAAAAGTTTTATGTTTTCTCAAAGAAATGGCAGTTTATACTAAGATCTGCATCCCAGAAATCGTACATCCCAGCCATGTGAGATATAACAACAATGATTAAAACACTAATCATATCATAAATATATATAATTCAATATACATTTATTTTCATTTGTTATTGTCAAGTATTCTATTAGATGTAACACATAACATAAGTACAATGTGTATAATGTGTATATATATATATATATCCACTGACTAGTTGCTGTGCACTTCCCCATTAGGTCCTTAACGCCCACGGTGACCCGGGCGCACTTCCCGTTGGACACCAGCACAGATACTTCGCCCTTGCTGATGAAGTACATCTCATCAGCCACCTGCGGTGGTTCGAAGAACCGGCAATAAAGGGATCGTTCGCCATACTAATCATCAATTACAGTGAGGTTGTGGAATCGCTGGTAAACGTTGACATAACTATAACTATGGAATGATCCACCATTTTTTATGGGAAAACTCACTATAAACTATAAATGGCAATTTTCAATAGCAAACTGTTAGTTTACCAGAGGGCACCCAGAATCGTAATGAATTATATTGAATTATACAACACCTCATGTTGTAAATGAGCAAACCGTTTGTGCTTCATCATGCTTCAAGTCCCACAAAGTCCAAAAAAAAGTCGACCCCCAGACTTCATGTCGTTCGCAGACTTGGTTGACCTCAATCAGCCATAATACCCACTGGTAAACTAACATAGCTATGGAAAATCACCATTTTTCATGGGAAAATCCACTATTAATGGCCATTTTCAATAGCTATGTTAGTTTGCCAGAGGGTAAATATTGTATAACTTTGAATGGGAACATCATCGAAAACCGGCGGATGTTCCAGCTTGCCTGGTGTTTCATGACACCGGACATTCGGACATTTTTCACCTCAAACACGGCAATGGAACATGCCCCATTTGTAGTGAATTTTCCCGTGAAAACACCCCATTTATAGATATTGATAGGGGGATTTCTAAGGGGATTTCCTAGTGCCACGTTTGATTACCGGGTACTGGACATTCACATGCGACATCCTCGTCAGCCTCCCCAACGCGGACCACATAGTCCCCCGGAAGGAAGGCTTTGTCTTCCAAGACACGGACTACCTCAGGGTCCGTGGGAATGGCATGATGGGGATTGAGCTTCAGACAATATAAGAACTCTAAATCCACACGAGGTAATTCCAGTGAGATAATGAACATGTGAGCAACATTGAACAACTACTATTTGGGGGTTGTTTGATATTCCCATTGATCTACTGGGGGTTGTTTGATATTTCACCCATTGATGGCAAGTCATTTTTTTGGATGGTTTATGGCATTGGGCTTAGCAGCATAGCACATGTAATTCATAGGTGAAGCATGGGTTAATCTAATCCAACTTAACCATGGCACATGTGATGCACATATGTTTTGTCTGAACATGGGGTAATTATCCCCTATTTCAAAGCGAGAATATGAACAAACCAAAATACATGCTTTAAAATTGGGAGGATTCTGTCTCAGATTGACATGATAGATGGATTGCAGAAATCTTACCAACCGATGAAAGCGACAACTCAAAAAATTGATTCTTTCTCCACTTTGCATTTTTCGTGATGCAATGATTTCTCATGTCAGGGGCAACACTCCAAAGTCAGTTTTCTCCACTTCTCTGCATGATTTCATGGCCATTTGGCGGCCCAATCATCCAATCCCCCGCTTTTCGGGCACAGCCCTCGATGGTCTGGAAAAAATCCTCCCAGGATATGGCAGTTACTCAGTTTGGGAAATTGCCACATGGAACCTCATATTTCAGTCATGCATGCTACTCACCATCCCATGTTTTTTATGTTTTTTTGCCATAATGGTTCACTAAACATCCCCATTTCTAGAATTTTCTAGACACTCTGACTCAAGTACGCGAAAACATGACGCGTAGCCTGATCATGCCTGATTCATACTTAACATATCTACCTCATACAACTGATACATGAAAATATATGAAACAGGATGGTACCCCGAAACCAGGGGTTTTAAACAATTACTACTAGCTTGGATAATTTGGGGATCCACCCAAATCAAACCAATATATATATATCTATCCCATTTGTTGGTTGTATATATTCAGGATCTATGCTTATCCTCCGGTAATCAACTATGGCAATGCAAACTCTTTCATATATAGATTATGTTCCCAAGATTAAAGAAACAAAGCGCCATCTATGAGGGGATTTCCCACATGTTTTCATGAACATTTCCTGAGCTTTCCAACGGCCAGAATGTAGCTGTGTTCCTGGCAACAGGTAACCGATTTACCAATCCCCCTAAGGCAAGCATCTTCCTGTAATATGTTGGTGCAACACTAGTATATAATATATATATATATATATACTATATAATTGTATTTCTATATATTTACTGTATAATATATATATGAATATACATATATATATAATATGTAAATATGTGTATATATATATATATATGTACATATATATATATATGTATATGTATATACATGTATATATATATATATAGCACTTGCAAACATAGGACAAATGTATCTATCCCCTTGAAGCATGTTTTGACCATAGCGCATGAGGTGATTGTGGGTCAATATCAGGGTGAATGGCTTTGGTCGTCCCAAGGCTTCAACAAAATTGAGCCATGAGGGCCATTACCATATATAATCTCATATATATATAATTATATATATATGGATAAATTACAGCATAGTACTTAGTAATCCGCAATTATATATATATATATATGTAATATATGTAAATACAGTACAGTAATTCACGAATCTGAAAAGAACATGCCCCAAACATTGGGTTGAGCCAGAAAATGGAGTGTTCACAATCACCAACCCACAGGCCCCTTTCCCCCCGACAAACCCGAAGTTGGTCTCCTTATTGCTGAAGAAACCGGAGGTGAGAACTGACTGGTACCTCTCTGATCAGCTGCTTCCCGCAATTTCCAGCAGTTGAGGTCCACAATGGGAAACTCTTGAAATGGTGTGAGATCCAACTCCCTAAAGCAGTTTGTGTAGTCGATAGTCGATAGTGTCCAGAAAAAAAAACATGGATTTAATAGGAACCCCCAATGATGGTACCTCTATTCCCATAAGCCTCCCATACTATGATAGGGGAACAGGGGTACCATCATTGGGGGTCTATGCAGTGCTCATGAATGGACAAACACAGCATGCAGGGCCGCAGGGACGGAAAAACCTCGAACGGTTACGACATGACCAAGATTACCTATATCAATAATGTAAATATGTAACTATCCATTCAATCTATTTATCTATATCTATGGATTTATCCATGAACATGTATATTATATATATACACATACTTCTACACTATGTTATCCTGAAACTGTACAAACAATAGATACAAATAGCATATATATATATAAATATGATTATATATATATACATACACATATTAACCCTGTTACATACATACTCCTACACTATGCATAGAAAAGGTGCCAAAGGCCAATCTAACACAAATATGTTTCTCTCATCCACAAGATCATATTATAGCGAAAGTTGGGGGTCAATCAAGACGCAGCACCTCTGAATGAATCGCCTTTGGCAAATGTGATGCTTGAACTTTGTTTGTGGAGGCTGGGCGTTTGAGAACTGAAACTATCGACAGTGTGTTTAGATAGATGTACCCTCTGGTAAACTAACATAACTAATTATGGAAAATCACCATGTTTAATGGGAAAACCATCTATAAATGGGCCATTTTCAATAGCTATGTTAGTTTACTAGAGGGTAATACATTGAACTTTTCACATCTTTTCACCCTAACCCCATTCTCTGCCATTTCCCAACCGCAAAGGGCACAAGTACACACGAATGGCATCTTCCAAAGGAGATGACAAGGTGTGATTCTTGAAGAGATGCTCAAAGGCCTGCGTCAATTCGGAATCTTCCCGGACTTCCCGGAGATCATGTGATCATGGCGGCTCGATCTGATGGTTCTTTCATTGTCCAAGATCCGCGACAGGTGGACATTTAATAGCGTTTAACCATAGTTAACCCGCGATCAAAAAACCATGTTTGCATATCCCATATGATCCATGTATGCTATATATGGTAACATTTACCATCAATATACCCCCTTTATGTTAGCATATATACCAGCACCATGGATCCTATGGGTATGTTTGCTACATAAATGGGATAATTATATGTCCAGTAGATCCCAAGACATGAGGATTTGACCCTGTTGTTTTTTTCCGTGCGGCGGATGAACCCGAGGAGAAAACACGAGGATTCCAGGATGCTTCTTATTCTAGAAAAAACAACTTGAAGATCACAGGCTTCGGAACTGTTTTCCTCAACCGGGCACCTCATAGTCGTGGCTCATTTTCTGGAAGTAGTGCAGACCTGGACATTTTCTTGGCGCCTTTGAGAAGGAACATCGCACTTAGATTTAGTGTGATAAACTGAACAATAAACTACCTCCGAGTTTTATCATAGGTAGTATAAAACCCAAAAGAGTTGTTTAGTATTCGGTTTACCGCACTATACGCTTCAGTTATGATCATATATCGAGGATACCAACCAACATGGGGTGTTACACAAAGCCATCGCGCAGAATCGAGGAGATGGGCGCAATTTGACAGGACGAGATTCAACATGGGGACACTCTGGTTAGTCTTGACCCGGTTGCCAGAAAAACTCTGATCCCGTGAGAAGTACTAAGGTCATGTACCTGTTTGAATGCTGTCTATGTTCATGATGACTGACTCGTCCCCGGTTGGTCCAGAAGAATTCCAGAGATTTTGACAGGGTGAAAGCGACATGGGTCTTGCTTCGACCATCCTATTCAACGCGGTAAACCCAATTTCATAAGCCAGCCCAAGTATTAACTAACTCTCAAAATTGGGTCTTTAGTTTGAGGTTTATTTTTGTTTTACTGTACCATATTTGAATTGGTGTAGGAAAATCCTGGCACCCATGAAAAAAAAAGGAATGACCCCATTGTATAGCCATACTGTATGTTCCCATTCCATTCCCAGGCTTTTTTCAGGCTCCCGCTGAAGACACGTCTCTGGAGCTCAATAGGAACGTTCAAGTTTTCCAAGGCCCGTTTCACGAAGGCCTTGCTGCTGAGTCTGCTGAGGCCGGGAGGCCTTGGACCATTTTCTCGCATCTAGAGATATCTAAAGGGGATGGTTACCATGACAATGGATTGGTTTAAGGGAAAATTTACAGGAAAGCCTCATATTTGATTGGAAAATCTATGGTTTCCTGTAGATTTTCCCTTAAACCAATCCATTGATTATGACTATAGTTTATTTTGAATGGTATATATATATATTCAATTTTATTTAACATAGCCATGGAAAATCACCATGCTATTAATAGGTAAACCTCTATTTCTATGGGCTATTTCCCATGGCTATGTTAGTCATAACCAGAGGGTAGTCATACAATGTTTATAGATCTAAAACATGGGAACTCTTGACAACTCCAGTTGATGATGCCGAGCCAGCAAGCTCCCTGCAACCCTTTGTGAATGTTACTAGCCAGTTGACAAGCAGGGTGGCTGCCCCAGCATGTATACATCAATGTATACATTGATGTATATAGGCATGACAACACACACACACATTCTGCGATGTGTTTTCTTTGTTTTAAATACATATTATAATATTGATGTGAATTAATTATCATAAAGATGCATAACGGGCCAGTTCAAAACGTCTGCTCCAAGCACCTGGTTCTCTTCATGCCGGATATCCAGCGCATGCTTGCGCTCCTGGCAGGGTGCCATAGGCACCCTGGCCATTTGTGACCCAATGCCATAAGCAGTTACCATTTGGAGATGGTTAAAACATCCATCATGTCTGGTCAAATTGATGATGGTTTAATTTTTGGGTGAACTTCACTACTTCGGTTTTTTATTATCGAATCAACTTTGCGAATCTGAATCTGTGGTATACCAGATGTTTTAACAATCCCATGGTGAACGTGATAACAGGTTTAATAGAGCTCTTGTGATACATGGCCAATTCATCCTCCCACAATAAGTGTTACATTATGTAGCATATCGCAATCAAAATAGTTGCTAACCAAAGTTAAGATAATCCAGGGATGTTCAGGGGTTGCTGGTTTTCCTTGTTTTTTTTGCCACCAACCCATAGGATATCACAATCCAACCTATTTGTTCACCACTCACCAAAGGTCTACCGGTACATCAGAGTGTATCACCAGTTTTGTCGCGCATGTAGATGTGTGCGTAAACATATTAAACAGTTAAAAAAACAAAAAAACACATAATCTATATGCATGTGCATTCATATTGTACATAGATTCACATTGTACATTCATTCAGACATTTATATTGTCACGCGTGTACATGAATATGATTATATGGATGGAGGATCAAAACCATCATATCTATTGGGGGCTGCAGGGCCGCTTCATTGTATCTGAAGATAGCATGTGAAGAAAGAACATGGTGATACATCCTGATATATGTTTGTAAGTATGTGTATGTGTGTGTGTTTGTATGTTTGTGAGATTGTGTTTGTATGTATTTATGATGTTGTATGATTATGTACGTATGTTTGTATGTATGCATGCATGTATATATGTCCGTATGGTGAGCATTTGCACTGCCATGTGCATATATTGTACACATCATGCAATGGAAGGAGCCAAGGTGTACTGCAGCTACCGGCCGTTTTACAGCCTCAGGGATCGTTGTAGAATTCGTTTTTGGACAGGAACTTTGAACCCATCTGCATAACTTACATACTGTATATAATCATATATATATATACGAATAATAAATGATCATATATCCCAAATGGTACCCTCCAGTAATCGAACATGGCAGTGGACAATCCCCAATAAATGGGCATTGAACTAGGAGGACTCTTCATGGCCTTGTTTGATTACCAAAGGCTATCTTATTGGGCCATGAACTCATTCCTTCCCGCTACTCCACATCATTTGGAGGCCATTCACTTGGACTTTTATTCATCCTGGAGATCAAATATGGAATTTCAAAGTGTCACTGACACTAGAATATGTTTGCGAATCCCATATTCTATCTACTTCATGATGATATATATATATCTATAGTCTATATACTATATTATATATATATCATATTATATATATTGTATTACTTGTATATACTATATATATATATGTACTATATTATATTATATATATATCATATCATATCATATATATATCTATATTATATTACTGTATATTATATATATATATGTACAATATATTATATTATATATTGTTATATATATATATATATCATTCCAGCAACCCATCCAGTGCTCCTGCTCCCGAACCACGGTGGCAATGATCTGCGCCACGATGATGCAGCCGACCGGACCAAAGATCTCAGGCCGAAAGCGGTGGAATTAGCCTTTGGTAATCAACCATGGCAATCGAAAATTGTCTAAACATACTTACCCATATGATCCATGTATGCTATATATGGTAACATTTACCATCAATATACCCCCAATGTTAGCATATATACCATACATGGATCCTATGGGTTATAAATTATGGTTTACTAGTTGGTGGTCTACCTACCCCTCTGAAAAATATGAGTTCGTCAATTGGGATCATTCTTCCCAATATATGGAAATATGGAAAAAATAACAAATGTTCCAAACCACCAGCCAGTTGAATAAGAACATCAATGGAACTAAATGATGTTTTTTTTCCGATTACCATGTTTGATTACCGGAGAGTAACGAAGCAAAATGGGAGACTCCACCATCAAACTCTGGGGATGGAAACCTCATGAATCATGGATATGGATCTGGACCTGAACATGGAGATACCTGAATTCATGATTCATGGCAACTCTCGTGAGGAAAATCAGGATGACCCTAGGAAAAAACAAGCAGAAGGATGTGGAAAATCCCATGGTTTCCATAGGAAAACGATCTAGAAATAGTGGGTTCCCACATCTTTCTGTTAGTTTACAGGAGGGTAATCATCAAGTTACGGGCTACGCTATTTTCAGACAAAAAAAAAACATATTTTGAGTGGTGGGTGATGGAGGACATGAAAAAATCTCAGGTGCCCAAATCTTTTTGCTGGTTCCTGGCACCATTGAGCATATTGAGCCCTACTGCAATCAATGGTGCCAATGTTCATCCCTTTATCTCAATCGGGAAATCGGGAATTGGAGGGAGCAAGGAAGCGACGAAGCAGCTACCAACGAAGCACATTTTTCTGGGCACTTTCTGAGACCATTTAGGACCTGAGCTATCCTGAGCTGCTAGCTGCCACCATGATCAAACTTCCAAAATTCTTCTCTCTGTACCTCAGATCAAATCACAGGGGGGCCTACTTTTTGGTGAGGCCTGAAATATCGCTGGCATATCGAGTTGTACATGACTCAGAATGATTGATAAATATCAATGTGTCTCGGAGAATGTATATGAATTTATATACAGTATACATATATATATATCATTGTATATACATATGATATATACTATGTTATTATGTTGCACTTCTTCACTTTGGAGAGGACCCAACAAAAAGTCGCTACATCCGGCTCCTATTCATCGAAGAATCTTGGCCAAGCAGCCCTCCATCTCCAAGCGGATTGTCAAGGGCTCCAGTCAACATGTACAATGCCTCAACCTCGTTGCACCACCGAAGGAAGTGGTTGATTTGTCGTTATGTGGTGTGTTTCGAGGTGTGGGCACAAGGGTCACCATCCGAACATCATCTCTGAAGTTAAAAGGTAGTTTAAAAAAAAAAAAAAACTGGTTGGTGGTTTCAACCCCTCCTAAAAAAAATGTCAGTTGGGATCATTATTCCCAATATATGGAAAAACAACAAATGTTCCAAACCACCAACCAGAAAAAAAACGGATTCTACAAATTGACTTACGTACACCTATCCCGGATAGCCTTCTTGTGTTAATACATCCAATAGCTGCCATACGAAGACATGATAAAACCTGCCAGCCGGTGAACAGCATCCCATGGTTTAAACCCCGTTGGATGTGTAAATCCCCAGGGGATAAGTCTTCAAATATTATGCCCAACATGTTCAACATAGCAATTTTGATCCATTTTCTTGGTCTGATATCCTACTTTTGAGCCATGCCTACTTCTTTCTCGTTCCAAACGCAACCCGGTTGCATGTTCAGCTACTGAAGTACGGCCGCCCAAGGCATGCCGGCTGGGAGACCCCACAAACGCCATGAAGTACAACGAGAATTCACCAGGGATCACGTGGCCGTTCAAAGTTGTTTCGAAGGATGCTCCACTGCCTACAACACATGGCGATGCGAAGAAACCTAGGTGGTAACCACATAGGGGTAACCACATGGTGTAAACAAACGCCATGTCAAAAGGTATCTGTAGTCCTTTTGTGATACCCTCTGGTAATTTAACATAGCTATTAAAAAAAAAACAATTTAGAGATGATTTTCCCATCAAAACCTCCATTTATAAGGGATTTTCCATGGCTATGTTAAATAACCAGATGGTACACATCCTTTTTGTGGGGGAAGTTGAACAACGGCTGTTAAACTTGGTGAATTTCCATGGCTGCATTAAATAACCAGAGGGTAAATATGCATGCTCCGTTCCTCCATCCCAAGCCCCGGCCAAAACAAGCGCCTGCGTTCCATAAGGCCTGCGTGGTGATGGTGAAGCTGTGACCCCGCAATATGCGGCAATCCTTGAAATTGTTGTTTGTACATGTTTGTACTGCAAAGTACGTCTATGAATCTATATATTATATATATAATTATATATATAAATATCTATATATAATTATATACAAAGAACTGTCCAAACATACTTCAATGTCAGTGCTACTAAAATATGCTATGAAAATAGACTATCAATATCATTGGACATTTCAAGAAATATCTAAAATCTATGGGATCATCAAGGGCCTCTGTTACCTTGGCAGGTGCCAAAATTCTCGGCTGCCCGTGGCAGCCTCTCGGTAACCTCCGCCCCAGGCCAGCAGACATCCTACCTGGGACAGAAGTCACTGGGGGTCATCTTAAGATCTGGAGCAAACCAGGAAAAATCCTTAAGAAAACGGTTCAGTTAAAATGGTTCAGTTAAAATGGTTGAGAAAATGGTTGACCTGGTGACAACCATCACTGACCTCAAAATCGAATGATTGACTGGTTAAGATTGTTTTTGACATGTGATGGCCATACAGCATTTAAGGGAACCTCGCAAATCCAGTTCATGACAAACATCTTCGTAATTATTCGTATGTGTTCCCAATTCACAGGGGTACTGCGCATATTGGTTGCAAGTCTAAGTCTGAAATTTTAATCGGTCAAACCCAAATTGTTCACAGGGGGCTGACATGGTTTGGCTTTCCCCTGCCCGTTGCCGCTACAGCCAACTCAGCTGCGCGCCCAGTGTGCCAACCAAATCAACAAAAACACTGGCCTCAAGGGAGGTCAGGTTTAGGAGGGATATGGGACAAGGCAGTTTGTTCTCAAAAAAATGACTGTATATATTATTTGCAAAATTGTAAGTCTGATTGTTGTGCAAAAAACTATCATAAACACATACCTTATGTGTATATATATATATGTATATGTATATATATACATTCAGTAGATAAAGTTATGCAATTTATGTATATAATATTTACCCTCTGGTAAACTAACATAGCAATTGAACATGGCCCAGTATTTATAGTGGATTTTCCCATAGAAAAATGGTGATGATCATCCCATTCCCGTGGCTGATTCCCCATACCATTCCCATCTAATTCATCCAGATACGGAAAAATCCCCAATCAAAAACTCCCGGCTATAGTTATTCCCACTATATCCCCAGTGTATTCCCATGAACCATCTTTGAAGGACTATATATATATATATTATATATAATATATATTATATATATATGGCGGTGTCCAAAAATGGGAGTACCCCCAAATCATCCAAATCATTAGACTCTTAGACCATTTATATAAACTGAGTTTAAGGTCACGTGGGGATCCTCGAGTTTAAGAAACCGCAATATATATATACATAGGGCTATATATATACATATACATATATACATATATGTATATATGTATATGTATATATATATATATGTATGTATATATATATAGAGAGAGAGAGAGTGTGTGTTTTTTTGTTGCCATGAAAATCATCATCCCATCCCCTCCCCACTGTCGCTCACCTCATGATCCTGGCCCTCGGTCTACCAACTCGGCCAGCGATATCCCAAAAAAAGTGAGTTAATTTGGATCATCATCCCAAAACATGGGGGATTTGTTTGAAACATCATCCCAATATCGTGCACAAAATATCGTGGATAAAAAAAAACATCTTCAAAATCTAACCCAAGCCCCCAAGTAGTTGTATATACTGTATTTTACAAGGTCAGCCAACAATTGGGTTAATACCAATGGGGTGAACCTCAAATCCGCTAAGCTGCTAGCTCTGTTTTGAACCAACGCTATCGGGCAGATCGATGATATATATACAATACATGGTTTTACTGCAGGAGTTTTTACACCCCCCTCGGGCGAGCAGGGACGACTGCGGAGAACGAATAACCCAGAAAAGCATACCCTCGCGGGTAGCCGAATTTCTTTAGTTGGTTTTAGGCATTTTGTGCAGTCTTTCAAAGGTCCCTCTAAAAAGCTCAAGCCCGTAAAACCCAGCGCAGCGTTGCAAGGAAGGCACATTACCATGCCACATCTTGCGCTATGCTACAAAAGAAAATCATCGTCTCCCTAACGGTTCCAAAAGATCCAACGGCCGCCGGCCTCGTCACGGTAATACCAAGCCCCACGCCAGAAACTCCATTCTCGGCGTGCACCATAGTGATCACGATTCCAACTCCAAGAGGCATCCGGGCGACCGGAGCTTGCAGCCTTCGAAGTGACTCCTGCGGTTGCTGCTTTTGCAGTGGGCGGTGTCTCAGGCTCCAAGAATGGTCGTGCTCCTGCTTTGGATGTTGGTGGTTCGGGTACCAGAAATGGTGCGGCTGGGGCATCAGCGTGCGAGGCATCTGCGCGAGCAGAGCTTGAGGCGGCTGTGACATCTGTTGCGGTTGCGGATGCATCAGCTTCGGCTTTGCGCTTTCGCTCAATGGTGGGCGCGACCGTGGGGTCGGCCTTATGACCTCCAGGACCTCCAGCCTTTGCAGCGGCGCTCTGCTTCTCTTTGCGTTCAAGATTGCTCCGAACCAAGGGAAGGTTTTCCTCATACACCTTTTCGAGGAAATCACGAGTGCCATCAAGAGGGACTTGGACAGTACCCTTCCAGGTCAACAGGCCACGGAATGCGCCACGACGGCCGATGTAGCTGACATATTCATCCTCTGTAAAAATGTGGCGGCCAAACATGAAACCCCAGACCTTCTTCCATGTTTTGCGGAACTCAACTGGGAAGCCATCAACGCCACGAGGCTGAGACATGAAAATCAACTTAGATAAGCAGTTCTCATTTTGGGCATTGGCGGCGACGCCAGCCGAGATCTGAGCTTTGGTCCTTGGGGGATCGGGGAGGTTGCCATATGCGAACATATCGTCAAATATGCAGTCCTGCAGGTCCTTCCCCTCACCGTGGATGCGGTCGCAAAAAGTGACGTCGCTGGAGTATCTATCTTCCACGTCCTCGTAGCCCAGCGCTTTTGCACGTCGATGCCTGTCGCGGCAGTCTTTGAGGACTGCTGATTCCACGGATGTGATTCCCCTGGGGCCCAGTTCTCGGCGTAGCAGGTTGGCTTGCTCTTCCGTCAAGGCTGTCAGCAAGCTTCCGCTCATCTTCCCAAACATTCCGAACCCGGCGAGACTTTGCATTCGCCGTTCAAGGATGCGGGTCCTCCTGTTGGGTTTGTTGGCCTCTTTTGTATCGCCACTTTCGTCCACTGGGAGTGGCTCAAAACCACATGTGGTGCATGTCACTTGGCCACTGACGTACTCAACCTGGCAGAGGGGACAGGAGCCCATGAAAGGTTCGCAGTACTTGGGTGCAATGTAAACACGGCGCGTCCTTGCGGGCGGCTGGTCAACTTGCATTGAGGCAGTGGCTGCATCATCATCAGTGGACTTGGCATCGGGTCGCCCCGTGCTGGTGTCATCCATTGGGTCGTCATTTGCATCATCTCGGGCAGTCAAGGTGACCGCTTTGGCTTTCGGTGCTGAGGCAGATGCCGCGCCAGTCCATGTGCTGGGCTCGAGATTGCTCTCGGCGCGGGACCAAAGCACCTGTCCTTCTTCTGAGATGCTGACCAGAAACTGCGGTGGGATGCGTTCTGAGCACAAAATCCCATCCATTTCTGTGCGACTAAAGATGACACCAGCTTCAACTGCTTGCCGCATTGCGATTTTGACTTCGATTGGACATTTTGCTCTTAATCCAGATCGATACCCCTGCGTGCCAATACAGTGTTCTGCCATGTAGATATGGGCACGGCCACTGTTGACTGTTGCACCGCCGCCTGGGATCAGGCCGTTCTGTGCGATGCTCTTCCAGCTGCTTTTCATCGTACGATGGAAGACAACCTCAGGAACCTCAGTCATGGCACACAGGGGCACGCCAGTGAAGGCGGCTTTTCGCTCGGGGGATACATGGTCTGAGCAATACACCATGGTTGAATTGGCATAAAGACCCCCTGCGGTTTTCAAGGCAGCTTCGGAGTGACCCTGAATTGCACGGATTTTCACAGGATAATACGGCATGCCTAGGCCATTGTCGACAGGGAAATGGGAGATCTTTGCACACAAGAATTGGAACCTACTCTTGCCATGCTTGTCGATCTTCATTGCGGTGCCAAACAGGTTTGCGACAGTGATGAAAACATCTGGGGGCACTTCCTTGCGGAAGGCTTTGGCGAAATCCTCCAAGTCAATCCAAAGGTCTTTGTCCATTGGCACCTTGGCACAGGATCCATGCCCCCTGCAAACTTTGTTGACACGAGTTGCAAAATCAGAAAACTTCTTGTCGACGCGAGTCTGGCTGGCAATGGTCTCAACGTCGGATGCCGATATCAGCTCCAGCTCATAAGCCGTACCTTCAAAGAGGATGCCGGGCACATCGTCCCCGTCTGCATTGGTCACCATTGTATATTGGTATTCAGGCAAATGCTCTTCCATCCAATATGCTTTCACGTGGCCAGATGCTTGTCCCTCGAAGCGCGCAGTTGCCTGCGGCTGGTACTGGCTGGATGTGGCTCCCTTGTCATCTGCGGGCTCATCCATTGATGCTGGTGCTGCTTTCGGCCGCGACTTCAACATGACCTCAGCTGTCTGGACCAGGATTGTTGCTCTGCTGGATGCAGCGGGCTCGCCGTCGCCGGCGGCCTTTGGAGGGTCATCTTTGGGAGGCTCAGCAAACGTGCCCGAAGGCATCGTCTTGATGTCGATGTAGTCCTCAGTGTCAGGTTGTTGAGCTTCGACGTCCTCCTTAGTGAATGACCTGCCCGTCGGCACGATGTGTCTTCGGGACTCTCCAAAAAGCAACTTGGTGATGTTTGCACATGTCTCCTGATAGGATCTTGGCAGCTCGTCCAGGACGGCGCTCATGTTCCTCCGCAAATCATCCCATGTCTCCTGGGCACACTCAGAAAGCTCCAAACCGATTTGGCCGACCCGCCATCCGGAATCAAGTGCGAAAAGGGTAGCTGTCCAATAGGCAGCAAGGCGCGTGCGATTTTCTTCAGAGTTGGCGAAATGCCACTGGTCTCTGAATTCCATTGCATCGGCGTACCCCTTTGCTTTTAGCCACGGATACCGCGGATTGGCACGCCCTTGCAGGCTGCTGGTTAGAGCTTTGAATCGGGGCTCCAAATGGTCGAAAAATTGATCGAAAATTGGATGAATTCCGTAATCTGCGCTCCAGGGCGCGGTCGTGAGACCGGCCGTCTGCAAGTCCAACTCCCGGGCCTTGTTGATGAACCATGTCAAGTGGCGCTCACAATCATCCAGGATCGTGGGCCAGTGCCCGTTGGGACCATCGTACGGCCAATTTGGATTTTGGGCAATTCCATCCTCCCCTACCAATTCATTTCCGAACCAGGACAAGTGCAGGTTGATGCGTGCATGAGGATAGCGCTCGCGGGCGTCCGCGGCCAATTCGATCCCTCTCTTTACCAACCTCTGCAAAGTTTTGCCCCAAAGCATCTCGTGGATGAACTCAGTCACGTACTTGGGTTTGCGCTGTCGGTAGTGCTCGGAAAGATCAAACTTCTTAAGTGTCTTCCTACGCCCTGTGATCAATGCACATGACGAGTCAGAGACTAAGATCCAGATTACGTCATTGACGGGCATCTCTGGCAGCATGATCTTTTCGATGTGGGACTCCTTTGGCAAAAAGCAGAAACTAAGGTATTCTGCAAGCGGATCCTCTCGACCATAGAACCTCAGGGCCGAAGCCGGCGTCCATTCGGTCATCAAACCATCCACAAGGTCCTGAGCAGCC